GGAGGTAGGGCGATTAGGACTGATCGTGCGGTTCCTAGGTGTCGTAGATGCTTGCCACGTGTCGGCAGAATCAAATCCTGGTTTTCGAGGCGGGAAACGAAAAGACGCTCTGAATCATAGCCAATCGTGGGCTGCCACGTGTTTTAACCTGTCAGTTTTTCTTTTAAAAACGAGTGAATAAGTCGTTCGTCTCCCATTGTAGTTTTCCTCGTTTTTTTCAGAAAAAGATTTTTTCTTTTGCGTTCTTGGTTCATTTTCGTGACAGCAGCTCTTCGGCAGAGTCTGGCTTTTCACGGTAAACACTCTCCTTTCATAGCGTTTTTGTTTCTTCTTTGTGTTTATTTTGGAAGAATAGGATGAAGTTTTTAAGCTCTAGATATTTTTGACTTGTTCTGAGGAGTTTGAGTATAGATTTTTAGAATAAACATGAATTTTGATATTTCCAATGGGTTTCCGCGGGTGACTGGTTTTTTGGGCCTTCTTCGGACGTTTTGGACGGTGTTTGCGAAGGCGAAAGCGAGTTAGACGTAAGTCCATTCGGTCGGTCTGCTTGACCGAATAGGGTGCCAGCTTGGTGTTATAGGGGAGTCGGTCGTCCGGTCCATCAATCGAGTGGGGAAAGGTGAGCGGAGTATAGAATCAGTCGGTTGTCCGACTCCAGTTGATTTGAGTTGCTTAATCGGTGGAGAGAGGCGAGTAGAATTTGACCTTGAGGACCAGTCGGTCGCCCAAGGTGAGCGAGGGGATACCTCGATCAGGGATTGGCGGGGTTGGTCACACAAGGGTAGCCAAGAAAGGCTAGAATCCAGAGCCGGATCGGTCGACGGGAGGGGCGACCAAGGTTTAGGTTAAATGTATCCGGGAGGTAGACGGTACTGAGGGGCGAGTGATAATAGGTCGGTGTCGGGTCAGGTGGTTGGCACTTGGCATTTTGGTAGTAAGGGCCGAGGCTTGGGTCGATCTGTAGGGTTGGGCGAGCACTCCAACATGTCGGATTCTGAATCGGCTAGTTCGAGCGGGATTGGGCAGACCCAAGGGATGAGTACGAACTACCCGACTATAGTGATGATGCTGAGGGGGGCGTTCAGTGGGCATGCCACTGGAGTTAGTGTAGCCACTCAGGTCGAGTGAGGCTGGGCCGAGTGGCTCAGGCAGGCATGGTAGGAGTGGGGAAGACTCTGAAAGAGTTGATAGTCCATCTTCTTCCGGAAGTGGCTCTAAGGAAGAGCCGAGCCAACAAGGCAGCGGGATTTTGACTAGAGATTATCCGCCCGTGCTAAAAGATAGTGATGTGTGGGCGCATCCGGACCTTGTATCACATTCCAAGTTCGGTTGATATCGGATGCCGCAGTCGTACAAGCGAGTTGACTGGGAGGCAAAGGACTGGATCAGTGTTTATGAGAAGTGGGTTCATGACAGGTTGAGGTTGCCTGTGCCCCGCCTCGTTTGGGAGGTGCTGAACCACTTCATGTTGCCTGTCTCAGTTATGCGAATGCTTGGAGACTGCTAATGGCTTTGGAAGACCTCTGTGTTCGGAACCATGTGAGGTTTGGGCTGTACGAGCTGCTTATAATCGTTACTTCTTGAAGGAGAACGATAAAGAGAAGGGTCGTTACTTGTTGAACTTGAGGCATGATCGGTCTCACTTGGTGACCGACCTACGGTCCAGTGATAAGAACTGGAAGGACCGATATTTCTACCTCAAAGGTCAGCTGTATTTGGAGAGATGACAGGGCGGATCCTGATCAGCTGGCGAGCTACTGGTGAGAACTTGTTGTTTCTTTCATACTTTTGATTACTAAATCTTGATTGTGTTTTTTGTTTGCAGAGCTTGAGTCAATCGGGCTGGGCAGAGCAAAGACGGCTTGGATGTAGCGACCCAGAGAGTGTTAGCCATCCCATTAGAGCAGAGGGATTGACGAGTAGTGCTAGCAGAGTCCAACTTTAGGACCAGCATTCTTTGGGCGGGGTAGAGGCAATAAGAGAGGTACTCCCTTCCCCTCGCTAAAGCAGACTTGGGATGTGCTTGAGTCGATACTGCAACCATATCATTTTTGGTGAGTCCGAGCTGAACCCACTAACCGTTGGAGAGTTTGCACTTGTAGAGTCTGATGAAGAAGTTGACGTCCTGAGCGTGAGCGAATCTATTGCCCGACGCCACGAGAAGAGGAGGAGGGAGTCTTAGCCAGGGAAGAAAGAGGAGCAGAGATGTGCTAGCGATGCCAACGAGTCGGCAGCCGCCGAGTCAGCAGCCTGCAGTTGAAGCCAGGCGTCCCAGACGACCCGGTTGGATGAAGAGGCCGGAACATTACCACCACGATTTCGGCTAATGCGTCGACTTACTCTGATACGACTACCATGAGTAAGTGACCGACTCATTTTTGTTCTCGGTGGACGAGGCGCGGCTTAACAGATGGGTGCAGTTATGCGGCTGATTGGGGGTAGCTCGTGCCGTTCACGATATTACAGTAGTGTTTGATGATTTTTGTTTCTAGATTTCGTTTGATTGCAATGTTTTGCTATGCAGGTACTCACTAGCAGTCTTCACCTGAGGAAGTCGTCGTGGCGCAGGAGAAACCTATACAGGATGTGTTCAAGGCCAAACACAGCCTGCGCCAGAAGGAGATGGTAGCCCGGAAGGCGAGCAAGAGTTTCAGCATCGTCTAAGGGATAGTGAGCATGAGGGCGAGAGACTGAGGCGTGAGTTAGCCGAGAGAATTACAGAGATTGAGTCTCTCAGGGAGCAGTGCATCTCCATTGCTGATGATACTATCATTAAGGCCCGAGGTGAGCTCATGCTAGAGTTCAAGGAAGGATAGACCTCTCATTGGGATCCGGATGAAGACATCTTGCTCATGTAGGAGTTACTGGAAGAAGGGGTAGTCTCGAGGGGAGGGACGACGAGCAGATGCTGACTCAGCCAGTCGAGGGCCATGGGGTTTGATGATGCAGGCGACTAGGCTGCGGGTCGAGCCCTGGCAGCGCGGGACATGGTGACCGATTCGGCGATGGAGGATAAAGCTCGTGCTGAGGATAATAGCTTTTTTCTTTATTTATTTTTTTGGGGCCTGCGATGCCCTTTTGTTTGGCGTGTGTGCCATTTTTTGTATTCTGTTTGATGTTATATATATAACATTTGACGATTGACTTCTGATGCTGTCTCCTTGGATGAATGAACTGTTGTTTCTTTACTTGTAGGTGCACTATGTCATGTATGTTACTTTAGAGTGGCCAGTGGCTAGGGCATGTAGGCCTTATGTTGGGCTGGGTTAGTGCTTCGCTGGTCAATGGTGTAAGGACCATTCATTCGGTCTGGTCGACCGATGCAAATTCCCTTGGATGAACGAAGTTTAACTTTAGTTCAGCTCTTGGGTCGGATGGGTCGATTGGGTGGTGTGGATCATAAGTGTGCTGAGTGTCGTAGACCGTGTGGGGCCAATAAGGTGCAACTCACGAATCGGGTAGGGCCGGCGGAGGATGTCATTGTGAACGAACAGGGTCGATTCGGCGGTGTAAGTACGTTTTTGGGCAGGGCGATATGAAGGTGTCCTCGTGAATCGAGCGGATCGATTCTAAGGTGTGTGTACGTTATCAGGCAGGGCGATTTGAAGGCGTTAGTACGTTTATCGGCATGACCGATCTAAAGGTGTCAGGTGGATCGAGCAGGGTCGATTCGAAGGTGTACGTACGTTATTGGGCAGGGCGATTTGAAGGAGTTAGTATGTTATCGGCATGGCGATCTGAAGGTGTCAGTGTGGATCGAGCCGGGTCAATTCGAAGGTGTACGTAGTTTATCGTGCAGGGCCGATTTGAAGGCGTTAGACGTTTATCGGCAGGCCGATCTGAAGTGTCATTGTGAATCGAACAGGGTCAATTTGAAGTGTAGGTACGTTTATCGGGCAAGGCGATTTGAAGGCGTTAGTACGTTACGGCATGGCAATTGAAGGTGATCGTGAATCGAGCAGGGTCGATTCGAAGGTGTACGTATGTTTATCGGGCAGGTGATTTGAAGGCGGTTAGTACATTTATCGGGATGACCGACTGAAGGTGTCATCGTGAATCGAGTAGGGTCGATTCGAAGGGGGACGTAAGTTACGGCAGGGTCGATTTGAAGGCGTTAGTACATTTATCGGGATGGCCGATCTGAAGGTGTCATCGTGAATCGAGCATGGTCGATTCAAAGGTGTACGTACGTTTATCGAGCAGGGCCGATTTGAAGGCGTTAGTACATTTATTGGCATGGTTGATCTGAAGGTGACATTAATTCATCGACTGGGGTCGGTTTGGAGACAAAAGACTTCTGAATAATACTTCATTAAATTTCTGGCCATGAGGCCGACTGTCTAAGAGGAGGTGGATAGGCCCACTCATCCTTTTTAAAATGAAAAAAAAATGACAAACGAAGTTCACCTAGTAGTAGTAGCGTTTGAGGTGGGTGGCATTCCAACTGTTGTTGATGTCTTTGCCCTCGGGGGTTTGGAGTTTGTAGGCGCCCTTCTCTGCTGCTTTGATTATCTTGTAGGGACCTTCCCAGGTAGGGCCGAGTTTGCCAGAGTTGATCTCCTTGGTGTTTTGGAAGACCCTGCGGAGGACCCGGTCGCCTATCTTGAAAGTACGAATGCTCACATTGCAGTTATAATGTCGGGCGGCCTGTTGCTGGTAAACTGCGTTACGGATGCTCGCCCGTTCCCGTAGCTCATTCACAGTGTCTAGGTTTTGGCAAAGGTTGTGACAGTTTGATTCCTCATCCGCCCATTGGAGCCTGGTGGATGGAACTGATACTTCAGCTGGGATGACTGCTTCAAAACCGTATGTGAGGGAGAACGGGGTTTCACCCGTTGATGATCGAGCCGTGGTTCGGTATGACCAGAGGACTCCTCGTAGCTCGTCTGCCCATGCGCCCTTAGCTTTCTACAATCGCTTCATCAATGTCTGAATGATGGTCTTGTTTGATGACTCGGCCTGGCCGTTAGATTGGGGGTTGTGGGGAGTTGAGAAGCTCAGTTTGATTCCCCAGTTGTCACAATAATCTCTGAAGCCTGAGCTAATGAACTGGGATCCATTATCGGTGACAATCTCCTTCGGTATCCCGAACGTACAGATGACATTCTTTCAGATGAAGGCTTTTACCTCTCGATCTCTGACTTGTGCGAAGGATTCGGCTTCGATCCACTTGGTAAAGTAGTCTGTCACAGCCAACAGGAAGACTCGTTGCTCGGGTGCAGTAGGTAGCTTTCCCACGATGTCCATTCCCCACTTCATGAATGGCCAAGGTGTGAGGATGGAATGGAGTCGCTCTAGTGGGAGGTGTGAGACATGGGCAAACCTCTGACAGCTGTCGCACTTCTTCACGTAAGCGGTCGAATCGGTGCGTATGGTCGGCCAGTAATATCCAGCAGTGATCACTCGGTGTGCAAGACTGCGGCCCCCTGTATGGTTCCCGCATTCGCCTTTATGGAGTTCGGCTAGAACGCTCTGGGCTTCTTCTGGGCTTATGCATTTGAGATAAGGGCCTGAGAATGACTTTCTGAGGAGTTGGCCCTCATGTATGGTGAATCTGGCGGCGCTTGCTTTCAGTCGGCGTGCTTCGTTCTTGTCAGCTGGGAGTTCATCATTTTCTAAGTATCTTACTACTGGAGTCATCCAACAGTCGGCTTGTTCAATGCCCATGGCTTCTACGGGAGACTTGTTCGGTGGTTGTTCCTTCCAGTTGGCTGGCCACTGCATGAATAAGAGAGGAATGGATGACTGAGAGTAACATGGGAGTGCCGAGCCAAGGTTGGCGAGGGCGTCGGCATGGTAGTTCTCAGCTCTGGGGATCTGTACGATGGAGAACTCTTCGAATTGGGCCTGCAGCTCTTTGACCATGCTCAAATAGGATGTCATCTTTGAATCACGTGCCTGATACGTGCCTTGTAGTTGATTGACTACGAGTTGAGAATCGGACTTTACTTCTAGTCTCTTGGCTCCAATTTCTCTGGCCAAGTTAAGTCCAGCTAGGAGGGCTTCATATTCGGCCTTGTTATTCGTACACTTGAACCCACACCGGATTGCTCGCTGGACGATGTCTCCCTCTGGTGCGATCAGTACTATTCCGAGTCCGTTTCCATTGACATTACTCGATCCATCTACTAGGAGAGTCCACTTTGATGGTGGTGCGATGTTCATGCATAGTAGCTCTCTTTCGGCCTGGGTGGTGGCGCTTGGCGTGAAGTCGGCAATAAAGTCTGCTAGTGCCCAGGACTTGATGGCAGTGCGGGATTGGTAAACTATGTCGAACTCACTGAGCTCTATTGTCCATTGCATGAGTCGACCTGATAGTTCTGGTTTGTGCAGTATCTTCTTGAGTGGGAAGGAGGTGATTACAACAATGGAGTGGCATTGAAAGTACGGCCTGAGCTTCTTGGATGCATGGATGAGGGCGAGGACTAGTTTCTCCAGTTGACTGTACCGAGTTTCTGCGTCGAGGAACGACTTGCTCACATAGTAGACCGGTAACTGCTTTGATTCTTCTTCCCGAACTAGCACTGCTGAGATAGCTGTCTCTGAGACCGCTAGGTAAGAATAGAGCTTTTCCACGTCCACCGGTTTGGAAAGAAGCGGAGGTGTGGTCAGATACCTCTTCAGCTGTTGTAGGGCTTCTTCGCAGGAGGGGTTCCAGTCAAACTTCTTGGACTTCTTGAGGGCATGGAAAAATATGTGGCACTTATCAGCTGATCTGGAGATGAAGCAGCTCAGGGCGGCCACTCGTCTTGCAAGGCGTTGGACATCTCTATACAAGTCGGGGATGGTATGTTAAGGATCACTCTGATCTGGTCGGGGTTCGCTTCTATCCCTATCTGAGTAACCATATAGCCCAAGAATTTACCTGATGAGACGCCGAATGAGCACTTGGCTGGATTCAGCTTCATGTTGTACTTCCGGAGGACAGCGAATGCCTAGCTAAGGTGGTCAAGGTGTTGTTCGGCAATCAGGGACTTGACGAGCATGTCATCGATGTACACCTCCATAGTCTCTCCTAAGTAGTTGGAGAACATCTTGTTGACTAGTCGTTGGTAGGTGGCCCCGATGTTCTTCAGTCCGAACGACATTACTTTGTAGCAGTAGGTTCCCCTCTCTGTGATGAAGGTTGTCTTCTCTTGTTCGTCCGGATGCATCAGGATCTGGTTATATCCCGAGAAAGCGTCCATGAAACTAAGGAGTTCGTGCCCTACGGTCGCATCTACTATCATGTCGATATATGGGAGTGGGAAAGAATCCTTGGGGCAGGCTTTGTTCAAGTCAGTGAAGTCGATGCAGACTCTCCACTTCCCGTTCTTTTTCTTTACGACCACGACGTTTGCTAGCCATTCAGGATAGTGGACCTCTCTGACCATGCCATTGCTTAGGAGCTTTTCAATCTCTTCATTGACGATCCGGTTTCGCTCAGGTGCGAATTTCCTCCTCCTCTGCTTCACTGGTGGGTGATCTAGATCTGCCTTGAGCTGGTGGACCATTGCGTCTGGACTGATTCTGGTCATGTCGGCGTGGGACTAGGCGAAGCAGTCTTCGTTCTGCTTGAGAAATTCTATCAGCTTCTCTCTTGTCTCGGGTTCGAGGCGGGAACCTATATGTGTCTTTCTCTCAAGGTCGTCCAGATGTATCTGCACTTCATCCAACTCCTCAATGGTCAGTTGGTCAGGCTCGGTCCGAGGGGTTGGATGAGACTGTAATTGCTATGAAGAGTTTCCTTTGCTCTTGAAGACGTTCTTGTAGCAGTCTTTGGAAGCTTTGGGATCACCCTTGATCTCTTGTACCCCCCACTTGGTTGGAAACCTGATCGTCTGGTGGAAGGTAGATGAGACTGCCCGCATGTCGTAGATCCAAGGCCGACCCAAAATGATGTTGTAGGGAGATGGGCCGTTGATCACCAGGAAGACGGTCTGTTTGTTCTCTCCGCCGGCGTAGATGGGAAGGACTATCTCTCCAATAGTATATTTCTGCTCCGAGTTGAACCCAACCAGCAGAGTCAGCCGCCTGTTGATGTTTGCTTCTTTTAGTCCCATTGCTTTTACTGCTTCAAGGAACAAGATGTTTGTTGACGAACCTCCATCTACAAACACCCTTTTCACTAGGATGTTGGCAATCTGCAGGGATACGACTAAAGCGTCGTGATGAGGAGCGGTCAGGGTGACCGGTTCATCATCTTCAAACTGAATTACCTGATGAGAGTGTGACCGCAAGGCCGGATGGATGGACTGGACTTCATGGTGGTGGTTGGCTCTAGCATACCGCTTGGCCGATGAGTAACTTACCCCGCTGATCTCTGATCCTCCGGAGATGAGCGAACAGAAACCTTTCGGTGTGGGTTCCCGCGGAGGGGGTGACAGTTCTTTGGAGCTTTTCTGGCTAATGGTGTTCTTCCCCTTGTCAGTAAGCAGATCACAGAGATGTCCCCTTTTCAGAAGTGCGGCAACCTCGAGTCGTAAGACAATACAGTCTGCGGTGTTGTGCCCATGGTCGTTATGGAACTCGCACCACTTGGTTGTGTCTCTCCTTGCCTCGGGATGGAGCTTGCTAGGCCACTTGACGGTGGATCCTAATCCTTTCATTATTACTACGACCTGGGTCGGTTCGACGTTGAGGTTGTAATCCGGTATTCTGGGTCGGTTCGATCCAAACTGCCTATTATCATTTCTCGAGGGTTGGTGATCATAAGGCTTCCTGACTTTGCCCATATTGCGTGCTGGAGGGTGGTAGCGGTGCTCCACCGGTCCAGGCTCTGGCTTCCTATCGCTCCGCCTTGGTTCATATCTGGAGTGAATCGTTCGGTTTATCTCATCCTCCTCCCACCTTATTTGGATCACTGCCTGGGCCAGGGCGTCTTCCATTGTTGTGCATCCCAGCTTTGTAAGTTCTTTGAATAGCTTTCCGTCCGGGAGGAGACCCTTTCTGAAGGCATCTACGGCTGTCTCAGGGTTGCATGCTGGGATGGAAATCCTCTCTCTATTATACCTGCTGACATGTTCTCTCTGGTATACTCTGTACAAGTCGGTTGACAGCTTCTCGAGTTTCTTGTTGCTGGCGAACTGTTCCACAAACGTGTCGGTGAGTTGAGCGAACGAATCGATGGATCTATTCGGGAGGTTTGTGTACCATTGTAGCGCTGGGCCGGATAAGCTCGAACCGAAACTCTTGCACATGCAGGCTTCCCTAAGCGGTCGGGGTATCGAGACGGTGAACATACGCTGCTTGTACGAGGCTATGTGATCGTCCGGATCGGTCGTCGTACATTTTCATGTTGGGGATAGTGAACTTCTGAGGCAAGTCGGCTAGGGCGATCTCATCCACGAAGGGTGAATCCGCTTAATAATGGGGCTTGCTCTTCTTGGTTGGGACCGGCATTCCTGGAATGCGTCGCATCACTGCTTCCACATCGGCCAATCTCTTGGCTAGTACTTGTTCCATAGAAGAAGGGGATGCCACTAAGTCATCCTGTATGATCGGCTTGGCCTTCGCATTTATCTTTGGTACATTCCGTTGGGTCATCCCTCTTGGGGTAGTCTGAGGAGTCCCTTCGTGTGTTCCTTGGTAGCATTGATCTTCAGTCATTCCTTCCGGTTGGATGACTCCCATGGTAACTGTTCTGGTGTTTCACCCTACATGGATGATCAGGGGAGTCCTCTGATAGTCATTTAGGTGGTTAGGATGGATGGGCTCGGGTGCTGTTGGTTTAGTTTGGCCGTTCATCCCGCAAGGATGAGCCGAGCCGAGCCGAATGGAGTATGTGTTTGGGTTGTAGACTGGAGGTGGAGCGGGACGGTGAGGATGGGTTGGTCTTGTGGATGTGGGCTTTCTGCTATTGGATTATCTTGGTCACGAGACTGGGATGGGTCGGCTGGATGGTGTTCTACTGGCATATCTTTGTCTCCATTAGTCAAAACGGAGTCGTCAAGCGCTAGTGTTCTTAACGGACGCAGCCCTTTACCGGAGGCTGAGGGCTGATGCTCTGGTGTGAAGAGTGGTTGCATGGATGGGATAGGGGCGCGGAACCGATTGAGGGGTGTTTAGCCGGGAAGGAACTCTAGGTCATAGAATTGACTCACGTTCTCTTTGAGGGATTGGTTTTCTGACCTGACGGACGCGTTTTCCGTCTGGATCTCATTGTTCTCAGCTTCCAATGCAGCCACCTTGTCCAAGTTCTATTGCATGAGAGCGGTTAGAGCTTCCAGTTTGGCCTCGAGGCCGGGATTAGCGTTATCGGAGTTGTCAGCCATGGAATGTTCCTCCACGTAGCAAGGTTCGTCGAGCCGAATGATTGCTAGAGGCCCCACGGTGGGCACCAAACTGTAGACATAAAAATCTACCTGTACGGAAGAGAGGTCTGATCCCGTGAGGATGAGACCACTAGCGATATGCTGTACCTGCACACGTAGAAAAACACACGCATGAAGCGAACGGGAAACACCGGGGTGGTGTTTGCCGTAGGCACTCCGACGCTCAAGTCAGCAAGGTTGAAAGGCTAATATAGTGAGGGCTAGGGAGTAAGAGGTTACTGGAAGTCTAGTCGAGGACTGTGACTACGGCGGTGAAGTGAAGCTCTCAAGTAGGAGCTTCGGGTGTGAAGGTGTAATGTAGTGTCCTTTGTGAGAGGGTTGGCCTTTGCTTATATAGTGACTGTCTGGTCTCCAAATCCTGGTAGAAGTAGGAGTCCTAGCATGACTCTGATGCAAACCCTAGAAGAATTAGGGCCGTGGTAAGTTGTCTTACCAGTGTCCGGATAGGAAAGTAATTCTGATCAGGAAAGTAACTCCGAGTAGGAAAGTGATCAGGAATAGGAAGGTGACTTTGAATGGGAGATTGATCAGGAGTAGGAAAGTATTCTGAGGGGGTCATGGGCTTTGGATTCGCCCATGGACCTAGGAAATGGACTGGGATTAGGAGGCTCGTGCCCACGTGGTTTGGGCCGGCTATATCTTGTACCGAATGGGCTTAATCCGGTTGGGTCATATCGGGATTGGGCCTAGCTTCTTCTTCAGTGTCGGGCCCGTTTTCCTATTTGGGCCAAAGACGATTTTTGGCCCTAACAAGTTATATGAACAAATGTCATAAAAAATAAATAAATAAATTCTATTAGCCTATATAGATAAAAGATTCTATTTGAGCAGATAATAAAGAATTATATAGAATATTATTTAAGTATATATAAATATCATTTTAATTTATAAGGATCAACTATTAAGTAAGGATTATTTTATTTTGCAATTGGGAAGAAGGATCCAAAATTTGTTCACAGGAAAGTTGACTTGATGATCTCTCAATAAAGAAAGCCATCACGATGGAGTTGACATTAATTAATATTTTTAAATCTAAAGTTACAAAGATAAGCATTTGAGTTTTTTTTGTTTTTTTTTTTTGTTTTTTTTGTTTTTCCTGTTTATGGGAGAGTGTTCGGACACCGCTTGTGCATGCTTCAAATAAGTCTATAAGACCTTAGAATTATTAACTAAGTAAAAACTTCAGTGATTATCTCTATTAGAGACCATAAGAACTCGAACTTAAAAGATCATATTAGATATTCTTTTGCTCTTTCATCATTAGGTCATCTATTGGTGATTTAATTACCCTCATATATATTACTTTCAAATTTAAGGGGGAAAAAAATTCTTATTGAGAAGTTTTTATTAATTGTTATTTTGGTTGAAAAATAAATTTATAACCTTTGTATATGTGTTTTCTATTACTTTTTATCTAATCAACATCTAGAAAAAAAAAAAATTAAATACTTTTTCTCTTCTCCATTTGCACAATCAGACTAAAAAATTGTGTTAAATTATTTTATACAATATATATTTTAAACCTCCAAAGTAAAAATTGTCTTATTATTTATTTTTTTCAAATTGTTTAAAAAAAATATTTTTAACAGAAAGATACTTAATAGTTGGTATAGTCATGAGGATTTAATCAGATGATCAGATTTAGGGTTTACTCCCACTAGATTTTTCTAAGGTTGAACCCCTTCAGAGGATGGGTTTGAGCCTATTAGTTTCCCGTTTCTCGAATATTAAAGTATGATCAACATAAAAAATTTCACATCGGTCCTAATTACCTAAAAATTTTGTGTCGTTTTCATTAAAAAAAAAAAAAAAAAAAAGATAAGAGTATAGATAGCCAACCTTATACTATTATATAATGTATAGATTCTATGTGAGAAAGAAAAGAAATTGTTTGAGGTTGGTGATGACACCAAATCTGAGAGGAATCATGATTATATTATTAAGAAAAGGAATCTTAAGATTGGTTCACATGATGCATATCCTTAAGATCTTCTCAAAGTACAAGGTCATACATATTGACTAATAACTTTTTAATCTAACATTACGGAAGATTTAAGGTGAGTTGGTTTCGCTTTTTAACTTTTGTCACTATTTATCATGTTTAAAATAAAAAAGTAAAACGGATAAAATAATATTTTTGTTATAATTAAAGCGATCCAAAAATAGAATCAACATAATACAAATTTATTTAAAAAAACTTAGTATATATTATAGTCTAAAGTAATTATACATTTCAATTACTTCAGAAAATATAGACTACAATACAAAAAAGATCAATAACAATGAGCAAAGTGTGTTTTTAAAACACTTTGACAACACGCACCCATATGTTGTTCAACGCTATATGCTCAAGATTACATTACGTTTAACATTTGTTACGACTAGTTAATGATAAAGGTACATGTTATTGAACAATATTTTATAACATATTTTGCCTATTGTCAAAACACACAAAAGAAAAAAAAAATTACCCCTATGTGCATTCAAGTGCATCAAAGACCTATCTAATGGCTTATGATGTGCAAAACTTACCTTTAGGCCCCGTTTGGATCATATAATGTTTTATTATAGGGGAATGTTATATTAACGAAAAAATAGATCATCTTGAAAAATACTGGAAATGTTTAGAAAATGTGTTTGGTTGGTTCGAATAAATTGATTAATAATATATTTGGTTGAGAGGATAAATAGGTGGATATATTATATAGATTACTAAATTGTCTCCCTTTTAAATATTAATATAATATTATTTTTTATTATTATTTTTTGAAACGTTTCTTTTAATCCCTTACATTTGCAATTTTGCTAAAACACCCCAACTATATAAACTTTAGTTTGTAACAAAATCACACTCACTCACCCCAAGCCACTGCCGACATTCGATGGAATGGCACACGATTGGTCGTATATGGCCAGCTGTGCACAGGCAAAGCCATTTTCAGCCATGGATCACAAATCCAAGGTTGTTTCACAACAAAAGTCGTGGTCGTGAAACAACCAGATTTGTGGCCATTTCACGGCCATATCTTTGGCCATGAAACAACCATAGAAATGACCAGATCTGATCGTTTCCGGCCATGGATCACAAATCTATGGCCAAAAAAAGGCCTTACCAGCCAGATCCTACCGATTGTGCACCATTACGGTGATTGACGCCAACAAACGGTGGTGGTGAGTAACGGCCGACGGTAGTCTTAGGTGGCTGGGGGTATTTTGTTAACTTTTAAACTTTTTATGGCTGGGATGTTTTAACTAATTTCTCAAATGTAGGGGGCTGGGTAATTGTTATTTGGTAGACATTTGAGGGCAGTTGTGTCAGAAATAGTATTTAATTAAAGGCAAAATAGGTATAAAAATCAGATTACCCAATAATTTTTAATCCCAAGGGTGGGGGAAGGTATCGGATTACCCCCTACATTACCAACAATACACACTATTTGCAATAAAAAATTCTTGTAATATTTTATTACTTGCAAACCAAACACCAGAATCTTGCAAAATAAACGAAGAGTGTGTTTGTTTTATTATTTTAAGTAGTATTTTTGAATTATTATTATTAAGTAGAGTTGGGTTATTATTACGAGGTAGGATTTGAAAATTAACAACAAAAAAACCTAAACACCCCCAATAATAAAAAGTTTATAAATTGACAAAAACACCCCCACCCACCTGCAGTTGCTAGATTTCGGCCACCACCACTAGAATCTGGTGTCATTACGTACGACCGGCCATATCTGGTCGATCGTGAGCCGCTATGACCTTTTTCAACCAGATCCACCACGGATCTAGTTTTTTTGGCCAAATCTATGGCCGAATCTGGTCGTTGATGGCCACAAATATGGTCGTCGTTGATGGTTAACGACGAC